TAAACATTCCTCTCGTATAGTTTTCACAAGCATCGATACACAGGATTAAACATCATACTGTGACTTTATATGTTTGCCCATACTATCAACCACTATTTTGGTACAGTGACGAGTACGCACGGGCCGAGGTAGCATTGGTGCAGAATTGCTGAAACAACATTCACTCACTAAACTGCTGACTCTACAAATTTTAGTTTTGAAGATGAAATTAATCAGCACTTAATAAAAAATCAATAATGTGTCAAAGAGAACAGAAATGTGTCAAAGTGAATCATCACCATCCCAAAAAATGTCTTAAACCCTTAACAATGTAACTTGTAGCCTGTAACTTGTAATCGAATATCAGATGAACTAAGATGGATTACTTACTAAGATCTCTTTGACTCCAGTATGTTGGTTTTACGCGCTTTTATTAACTCGCCTTCCGGGACCAAACTCTCATTATTAGAGAGGTCTTAAAATGGTATTTGAGCAAGTTCCTAAAAGCCCATTTGGGTGAAATCATTGCCTCCTTACGCCCTCGCTGACAAATTGCTTTGGGTCAAAGCTGGACATGATTCAAGATTCTAAAGGATCCACATCAGATCTCTGCTAATGCCTTCCTGATGAAGACACATTCTGGCAGAGAAGTAAAGAGTTGTTTGATGGGAGCATGTTGATCAAACTATTGTGGCAAGATGATAGGGTTAGGTACATTAATCTGTCACGACATATTTAAAAATCACATTGAATGTGGGTTTTTTCTTTTAAGTCATGACCTCGAAGGGCGTTTGTTAACAAAACTCCAATCCTTTTTATTGCAACAATACTCCAATCCTTTCAAAATACGTACGTAGCTTAGNTGCATTGATACCGACCGAATATTATGATTTTTCAGAGGACAAAGGTTATCTTTCTAAAGTCTCGAAAACACCTGTTGCCTGATCTTCAGTGACCCATAAATTTTGAATTTCATGACCAAGGATTTTGCTTCCTCTCGAAATTGAGACTGGTTATTGTCGTGTTATATATTTAATGTAAACACATGCGCCCTTATAACAGTCAATATTACTTGAATTATTCAGTTTTACATGTTTGCTTCAGTTATAATAGAGCATATTTATTTTTATTCTCATTAACATTTTATCGCGGATACCAATTGTGTGAATAACTGATTAGTCCCCCGTGATATACGCACCTTATCATCACTTGATCACTGATAACAATATGTTACTTACGTCGATTATTACAACATGTTGTTTTGTTATTCAGTTAGTTTCGTCTCATGTTGCCATATATATGGAAGCACAGAATAAAATAAAATTATGACTATTATGAATAATGCAATCATGACTCTTTGTTGTTCCTAACTTCATTAAGCTTCAATAAAAGTCATATTACCATTCAAGACCGTCATGAGGTGTATGTTTAAACTGACATACATATATTTATAAAATAAGTTATTAATGTTTTCATGCCACTGTGAAGATATTATTATTATTATTATAGTATATTTATATAGCGCACATATCCACGCAACTGGTGCATGCTCAAGGCGCTGGTATTTTTCCCTCGATCATTGGATGTGTATGTCAACGGCACATCCTATTATCATTCTCAAATCCCTGGGGAGTATACAACTCTTGCTGCCACTAGGCGCACCGAGTTTGTGTGGCTTTCCCATCTTAACGAGATACCCACTCACAGCTGGGTGGACTGGGACACATAGTCACAGTACTTTGTCCACGTTCACTGCACGTTGCTGTACACGCAACTAGGTGTTTGCACGTATTCATGTGGCCATCATCTGGTCACATACCAACGGATTCGTGGGTTCTTTTAAGTGCACAGGGTTGTGTACTGTACACTAGCGGTTGTGACAACACTGAAAGACTCTGCACACAAAGTTGACTACAAGTTTTTACACCCGGTCACAGGTGGGCTCGATTCCGGCACCTAACCTCGCTGGATCACTAGCCTGGCGCCTTAGCCAGCTCGCCCACCGCGCCCCCGATAGCGATATGCGTCTTCAGCGCTGAAATCATTTCCGGTTGGTCTGGTTTGAAAATATGGTCGCAACAATTCAATTCCTTTGACATTTTAATGTTTTTGCTGCTGTGTCAAGCGAGGGCTGGCGGCATTCATAAAGACAACGAAGCCGTGGTTCATACGCATTATCAGAACGATGTTTTTCAGTGTCTAATGAAGAACGACGTCTGTACCTGTGTCCAACAATGACGATATGCGCAGCTTTCATTCAATACCACTGACTACGTATGTATAGTCCATCGAAGAACATCAACTAAATACATATAGTCATATCTATGAACATCAACCTCTATATATTGTCAGTCGGAGAACATCAACTAAATTCATATAGTCTTATCTAGGAACATCAACCTCTAAATATTGTCAGTCGAAGAACATCAACTAAATACATATAGTCTTATCTAGGAACATCAACCTCTAATATTGTCAGTCGAAGAACATCAACTAAATACATATAGTCTTATCTAGGAACATCAACCTCTATATATTGTCAGTCGGAGAACATCAACTAAATACATATAGTCTTATCTAGGAACATCAACCTCTATATATTATCATTCGAAGAACATCAACTATGTATATCGGGACCATATGAGAGCATCGACTTCTATATATGTTCAGTCTAAGACCATCATCAACTATGTATACAAAGTATTTGGTCCATCTAAGAACATCGACCTCTATATTTAGTCACTCAAAGAACATCAACTAAGTATTAATCCATTTAAGAACATCAATTTCCAAATATAGTCCATCTCAGAACATCGACTTCTTTGTATAGTCCATCTCTGAACACCGGCTTCTTTATATTGTCTATGTAAGAACACCGACTATGTAGACTGCGACCATCACAGAACACCGACATGTTAACAGTTCCATCGACGTACAACATTGTGTACAGCGTACAACCAACTTCAGTAACTATAATAATAATAATAATACTTTATTGCCCTAAGAAGGGAATTTGTCTTGCGTTATGGACGCTGGAATTACAATGAATACATATATCCATTACACACACATTACAACACGAACAACATCAGTCACACGATGTTGGTAGCAACCAACCAATGACGACTATGCAACAGCTATGAAAAAACCTATGAACAGCGACTATGTTGGCAGTGTGCAACCACGCACTCAGCGTACAACCTACAACAACGGGAATACGTCTGCTTCTTGTAAGACGGGTTTTTTTCAGCTCAATAACAAAGACCACGTAGCGTCAAGCAAGTGTTTTTTGCTGCACCTACATGTACTTTCAAGGTCAACAACACTTAATACGTACGCCTGTTATGCCAAGAACAGCAGTATGTACATAGGGTCAAACTGTATGCATTATTAATCGCGCAATATCATCTGACTTTTATCACAAGACTGTCTGGCGAGCTCTACTAATAATCCCAGCATCAACACATTCACGTCACTACAGCTTTCACTAATTGGCTTTTGCAGACGTTTCCAGGGCATTGATTGTATTTCGTTTGCTGATTGAACATCATTTGGTATTAATATCATGCTCGATATGGGCTGGCTATGAAAACAACTAAGCCCTTAGTGAGATTAATCAGTAAAAATCAATCATAATACACTAGGTTAGCACGGGACACGTAGATGAAGGCAATCGCTCTCGGGCGAATATGTTTCTGTCTGTGCAATATAATAACTCCATTAATCTATTTTTTTGAAATAATGTTTTGCGTTGATAATGCTGTTTTTAAAGGGTCTCGAGAGTGGAAATTTTCATATATTTTTGTTAGCTCTAAAGATAGTCTATTGCTTTACGTCTGAATGAATACGATGCTCTCTGGTTGATCAACAAAAGCGACATGTTTTCGGTGCTCTGAAGAGCAATATCACATGCTGCTTACCGACAAATTATATACAGAGGGTGAACAAGGCGACCCACAGGGCGAATATATATAGAAATCCATCATAACAAATATAGAGCTCTATTGATGGGTGGGATTCGAACCCACTTCTGAGTATTGCCCCGTGTCTCTGAGGTTTAACAATACAAATTGGGACATCACCTTTAAAAATAACTTAAACGGAAAGTAATATTTACAATTGGATACTTCTAACCCTGTAAAATGTCATAATTTTACACTAAATACAATACGAGAGGCAAACGGCTCTTTAAGTATCCGTTCCTTGGCCCCGAATGCGTCAGAACTCACCCCGAAAAGAGATGGTGTGAGCGAAATGTGCGCTCTGGTAAACTGATGTTTGACACCTGTCGTGTCAAATGATGTTTATACTGTGTTTTCAAATGACATTTAATGCCTGTCTTTTCAAATGATATTTGAAGCCTGTTTTTACAAATGGTATTTAACACCTGCATTTTCAAAATGTATTTGATTCCAGTCTTTTTAAACGTTCTTAATACATGATGCGTTATGAACTTTATCTTGTTAAAAATAAAGTAGCATCATATAAGAGAACATCTTCATAATAGATGGCTGTTGTATAGATTAAGGCATTAGTGTCGGAGAGCACATATGCGATGTGGTATTCATTACATCTAAATGAAGTTTATTACCATCAACCAACTGAAGCGTATTCACACACACACACACACACACACACACACACACACACACACACACACACCAATCAGGCTTTTGCAAATGTTTGACAACTGATCCCATCTTATATTTGTAAACCCCATCAGAACAGTTAATTCAAAGTCAAAGAGAAATTATTCTGTGTGATAGATAATGAATATTTACGTTTTTACACTCACACACACACACACACACACACACACACTGAAAATACATCACCATAACTGTTTTTGTTTTGTTTAATTTTCAGCAACCTCCAAACATTGGTGTGTACTGTCGTTTCCCCAGCAGCGTATGTACCAATATAATGCCCCTCTGAATGCGATAAACAACACCTGGTGCATTTTCGTTGACTGTGAATAACTCCTTGGTGTCTAAATCGTATAAATGTTAGTCAACACTCACCTGCCAATGCCCCCGTAATGATGAAAGTAACAAATATCCAGTCAGCTCCTGACACTGTCTTCATGGTTCATCCCGTATCCATGAACACTATTCCGTAATCCGTTTCAACTCACACTGTTGCGAAGTTTGCAATGACATGCACAAATGACGATCTATGTTCTGCCAACTATTGTGTACCGCCACACATCAAAGAGCTACTGTCTGATGAAGCCTGTATTTTATCTCCAACACCTGGCACGTTAGATAAGGCGTGGCGTGTGCCTCAGGGTTCGTGAAGAATACCTCGAGTCTCGACACTGTGTAAATACACAGTTGAATGCAGGCTCATCGATCTCCTCCACGAAGGGCTTCATTGACCCGCATCTCGTCTATGACATTGTTGTTATCAAGTACCAGGTGAAGGTAATCAAATATTGTACAGGGTATATATAGATGTATAAATCATTAACACAAGCTTCCTTCCTATGTAAGCGTCCCGCGTGAACACAGAAACAACGGATACAACACAAGGCTTGAGAACATTGGGAGTAAAGTTACTGACTGCCGAACCTCAACGTCCGTACATGTGTAAGTGTCAATATATTTACAATACTCCTTTGTCGCAGCATCTGTGAGTGCGGTCCTCGAGACACAACTCCCGGTTCATTATATTCCCAAACCTTCACTGAGCCGAGAAAACATCCTCTTCTATTTCGGACAGTCCAGCCTCTGGTCAAGATGGACAAACAGGTATCTGAGATCTTTCAGTCCACCTACGGCCGCAATTGTCGTTAATGTCTTTTTCCGTCAACAGCTCTTCTAACGGTAATCCCGCGCCGGCCTGAATAACACAGCCACGTTCTTCTTCGGGCAGTTGATCGACTGATTGCCAATGTACAGAACAGGCCTGAAGACCAGACGCATTGAAGGAATGAGATAGTTAGTGGCGAAAACATGGTCTGGCCATTGGAGGGTAATCAACCATTCATATGGCGAGGAATATTAACAGCCTATAAAAGAAGACCATTGGGGTTGCCGGGGCTGGAAGATGTCGGATGACTTGGCAGTTGGGCAAAGGGCAATGTCATCATTTAGAGTGCTGTTTCTATCTGCTGGCACTGGGCGTACTGGTAACAGTAGCAGGTCAAATTTTACCTTACAATGACGACACTCCCATGGTATTTGACGAGTTGTAAAACAATTGTTATAAATACACGCATGCTTCTTTGCGCTTTATTCATAAAAAACATATCCAGATGAAAAAAGTTTATAATCCAAGTACTAGTATATGTTTATGGTTTTCAAGTTTTCCTGTTTCTAAATCAATTACATGTACTTTGAAATGAAAAGTAAAGTGTCGCTCTCTCTATATATGTTTTGTTGTTCGAGGTTGTAGATCAAGTGCTAAAAAAGAAATGCCTTTGATGCTAATGTACCCGGTTTCTTTACATCCCCGTCGTATGAGAGTATACAGGATCAGGCTTCAAACCAACATGAATGTTTATTTGGAGGCTATGATTTTTTATCGGAAGGATAGGACACGCTAGCCCTTTTCGTGAACACCTAGTGTTCCCACGAATTTTCAGTCAAACATTCATTACTCTCTCTCTCTCTCTCTCTCTCTCTCTCTCTCTCTCTCTCTCTCTCTCTCTCTCTCTCTCTCTCTCTCTCTCTCTCTCTCTTTGTGCTGACAGAGAGATGGATAGAAAGGTAGATGGACAGACAGACAGACATGCAGATGTGGGTATGGAACGTTTTGTTCGTTTCTTGGTACTTCGGGAAATCATTCTTTGTTCGGAGACTAATGTCCAGTGTTGTTACGGCACTGCACAACTCGCCCCGAGGCTATGATTCCAGAGAAAATGTTGGCATGCGGAATGTTACATTTTATTTCATAGATCATATATCAAATTATGTTTGAAACGTTTTAATATGACATAATATCGATTTCCTTGTAATGTTACTGTATGAAAATACCGGGGCTAGAACATAGGCTTTTAATGTGGAAAACCTGCTCGACAAATGAGGTTAGAGTAATGTTTGAAATGATTAATGTGGCCCGAATGATCATGGGACAAGAGGGCAAACTCTTGATGCCATCTGTCTTCAAATGTAGTATTCAGATTCAAAAGTGATACGGAATGGAGGAATGAATGAATGAGTGAGTGAGTGAGTGAGTGAGTGAGTGAGTTTAGTTTTACGCCGCACTCAGCAATATTCAAGCTATATGGCGGCGGTCTGTAAATAATCGAGTCTGGACCAGACAATCGAGTGATCAACAGCTTGAGCATCGATCTGCGCAATTGGGAACCGATGACATGTGTCAACCAAGTCAGCGAGCCTGACCACCCGATCCCGTTAATCGCCTTTTACGACAAGTATAGTCGCCTTTTATGACAAGAATGGGTTGCTGAAGACCTATTCTACCCCGGATCTTCACGGGTCGAATGAATGAATGAAACACAATCGGGTGCACGTGACCTTGAGTTCCAACCCCCGATCATTGCAATTGCGACACCTCTGGCGACTTGGCTACCCATGTTCTCGCAAGCATGAGAGACATTAATCAATGTGACATACTGAGCGATTTTATCTGAAGCAAGTGAATACACATAGTGTGTGAGTGAGTTAATATTTAACTTCACATCGGCAATTTTTCAGCCATATCGTGACGGGAACAAATTGGACATTTATAAACAATATGTATGAATACACATAAATAATCAGGAAAATGGCGACCATTGTGATATAAGTACACTTGTAGATGAATATTACTCGCCGTTAGAATGTAATATAATGTAACCCGTGAAAATCCTGTCCGGAATTGATCTTCAGTAGCCCATGCCCGTCGTAAGAGGCGACTTACGGAATCGGTTGATACATGTGATCGTATCCCAATTGCGTAGATCGATGCTCATGATGTTGATCACTGGACTGTCCAGATTCGATTATTTACAGATTGCCTCCATGTAACTGGAGTATTGCTGAGTGCGGCCTAAAACTAAACTCACTCACTCACAGACGTCAGGCGTTTCCACGAACCTTAGTTTAAGTTTGTTGTTAAACGCCACATTCAACATTGCCATTATGTACACCCTAGTCTTGATATTAAATTTTGTCTTTATCCTCCCAAACTGTCTTCCACAGGAGATATTGCTTGTGTGAGGTCACACGATATCTCTTAACAGTAGATTTTGTACAATGCCCTGACAATATTATGACGTCATGAACTTGATGACGTCACAATGCTATGAAATCGCTGCACTGCAAGTCTAATGGCAGTATGGGTTCAGAGATGTACATTTTTCATTGAAAACTAACGAGGAGTGATTTTTATGATAAATAGAAACTCACCCTCGTGTCTTTTGATATCAAATATATCAAGACTCGTTGATAAAGGTAAAAATATCATCGGCAAGCCTCGGATATTTGTTACTTTATCAACTCGTAGTGATATATTTGATATCAAAAGACACTCGGGTGAGATTGTCTTTGTCTGTCTTTTTGCTCTTTGGGCAATTGTTGCAAGGCAATAGGTGTGTACTTTCTTATCTACTTCAGTTCTACTTCACTATGTACGCCCCACGTTAATAATGACCAAACCTTTTGCATGTAAAGCATTACAATTCTAAAACACAGAAATAGTAAAAACACGTAAATGTTTAGATGACTGGTTTGTGTGCATGGAGGCATAATACTTCGTCGTCATGGTAACCATAATGTCAGCAATATATGATACCTCTGAAAATCAGTCGCTGTGATTCTATTGGCAAATTCGATGTAACTATTCGGCATGGCAACAAGAAACTGTCTGATGCCTCTCACGGGAACGAAAACCACTTCCCATTATATGTTGAACATTAGACCGAGCCTTACGCCTAAAGTTAACACCTCTTGATGAGGGTGTCCGACTGACGGAATCGGAGCCGCGGGACAGGGCCTATCAGCTCTCGATGAACGATACAACATTATCTTGGTAAGCCATGAATAGTTCATGAGGTAAAACCGCCGCAGGAAATCACCATAAAAGCCACTTTATCACAAATCTAAGCGTTATGGACCTATAAACACCACGACTACAGGGCTTCCAGAATGAAACGTCAACAAAGGGAGGTAAGTGATGTTGGGAGTAACGTCACTTCGAACCAAATAGTGTTTTTGATGGAGTATATTCCAGGTAGATTTTATTTTATTAGCGTCTGACATTTGCTCGCAACAGGTACAAAGGTGATAGGATGTTTACTTGTTAAATGTCAGTTAACAAAGGGCAAAGGTAATGGTGTATGTGGACTTTGTGTACCGGCAGAATGGAAGCATTGTTCAAGGTCAAATGACAAAATGTTAACTTTGAGAGGGTGGGCAGAATGTGTGTCTATTCCTGAATATGTCTCTATCAGGTGTGTAAAATTCTTCATACTTGCCGATTTGCCAAATGAGTGGACCATATGCAAAACTCATGTTTTTCAATTGTGTCTCTTGTTTAATTGTCATTCGACTTGTTTGATACGCATTTCTGTAATTTAATGTTTTGGGGCGAAATATACTACCGCGAGTATTTATGATTTTACGGTACTATGGTGTAATGTGCATAGTCCTTGTTTCTGATGTAGTGTCATTATACGCTAAACGTATAAATTTCAGTCTTTATATATACGTTTCCATGACCTATGTATTGTTGCGATTCTTTTTGAAGTATTTGCTAGTGTCATTTTCACACTAGGTTTAGAATTGGTCTTCACCATACTTGTGGTAAGAGGCAACTAACGGGACCAGGTGGTCAGGCTTGCTGACTTGGTTGACACATGTCATCGTATCCCAGTTGCGTAGATCGATGGTCATGATGTTGACCACTGGATTGTCTACCCTAGACTCGATTATTTACAGACCGCCACCAAATAGCTGGAATATTGTTGAGTGCGGCGTTAAACAACAACCAACCAACCAACATTAGGGGAGACCTTTATAAAACTTGGTTTACGAAATTGCGTTCCAAATAGCTGAAAATATTATGTAATATATTTTTTGGGAAAATACACAGTGGGTGCGTAATGCTCACTTAGAACTTCATAAAACCACATTGAAAGTATTTTTTTATGAATAAAAAAATGCAAAACAATATCTTCATGGACAATATATTAATCCTTATTACGAAAAGGGGAGACAAATGTACAAAATCAGTGACATCAGTCAACCTAATAATAAAATATTAGTTTTAGGAAATAGTACTCCGTTATTAAGGTTCCATTTGTTTGGCTCATGGAGAAAGTTCAAATCTTCGGTAACACTTCCAAGCTACTGAGTCATTCTTAATTTCTTCATAAACCTTTCAACAATACGTTTCGCATCACTGTTGTTCGTATTAAGGATGTGTAACTGTACATGCCTGGCAGGATCCGATGCCGTCATCAGGGGCTCTTAGAAGCAGTATAAAGATGAAGACGACAATAGCAAGTTCGGTTACGTTACCCCCGAGGACACATTCCTCACGCTCTTCATCACAAGCCGGGGGTAGACCGATATCTACTTTCCCACGCTGTTTTCCCACACCACGTTTGTCGATGTTTAAAATTATTGAATTGCATAAGTCCCAATACCCTTTTTTAAATAAACGGAAAACAAAATAATAGGATTATTTTTGCTTTTTTTCAGTATTATTGATTTTGAAACTTAAAAAAGCTATCTCTGAGGCGTTTGTGTATGTTTGCAAAAGCGACATCTTCAAACCAGTTCGAATTTGTATCTCTGTCCTCTCTGAGACAATCAGTGTTGCTTAATGTATTTCATTTGTATAATCATTTAGATATTTTTTTTTGTGTATTAGATTGCCGCGGATGTATGTCAACTTGGCATAAGATTGAACCACCCTGTTATTTATAACTGTTTTGCTGCAACCGGTAGAGCAGGACCACGCTTACCCTTTTCGCGAATATCTGGTGTCACCACTGAGTTTCAATGGTTCATTCACATTTTCTCAGTTATTCGACCCTTTCCACATAATTGAATATATTTCTGAGGATAATTGAGCCTGGGTATCCTCATGTTTGAAGTTTCATCATACTGCCAAAGCTCAACCATGTTATCCACCCACTATTCGTGTCTAACCATCTAGATTCTTGACCCCACGTCATTCATAATGCATTTGGGGAAATTGTT